GACTTCTATCACAGGAGTTCATAGCAAATACGCTTAATTTTCGAAGTCCTCGACGTGGTATCACAGATCTTGGTCTCACATACTTACAGTCCAAGATGGATAATCATCCACAAGATTTTCGTAGAATTTACCGCATGTACCCAGATTGCTTCATGAAGTTATGCAATATCTTGAGAGAGCGGGGCCATATACAAGACACATACCACATTAGTGTTGAGGAGATGATTGCTATTTTTCTTCTCACGGTTAGTCAGAATCAACGATACTCTGTTGCAACTGATCGATTTGATCGTTCAAAATGGACCATCAGTGTATGTTTCAATAAAGCATTATGTGCCCTGGTATCTTTAGCATCATGCTTGATGGCATCACCCCCTACTGATCCACCTGATAAGGTTAAATCAGAATCTCGCTTTTGGCCTTATTTCAAGGTAATTCTTATTGCTTTAGATTTTACACACGCAGACACACACATGCACACATGCGTGCACGCCCCACACACACATCACTTCAGATGGTCTGACACATTGATTATTCAGGATTGCATCGGTGCGATAGATGAGACTCATATACCATGCATGGTGTATGGCATAGATCAGACACCCTATTGAAATAGACATGGTTTTCTTTCTTAGAAAATCTTGACAACTTACACATTTGACCTCAAGTTTATTTATGTCTTAGCTCAATGGGAGCACTCTGCTAATGATGAAAGAGTCCTGAAGGATGTGATGAGTAGACCTCATGGACTTCACTTCCACAGAGTAGTAAACTTTACCTATTATTCTATGACTTTAATACAATCAAAGAATATTTTTTAGTTTTATAATATTTTTTCTCATTTACATTTTCATTTCTATTTGTAAATAAATTTTATATAGTTGACTGCGGCTATCCAATTCCAAATAGGCTATACTTTCTTACTCCATAGTCCATACCGAGATCAAAGGTACCATCTTTTAAAGTTCAGCCCTACTAACAATCGCCAATGATCACAAAATTCAAAATAGGTTTTCAATCATTGGCATGTATCTCTTAGATATTGTGTCGAACGCATCTTTAGAGTTTTTAAGTCTAGATTCACTGTTTTCAAAAGACAACATCCAAGTTTTCCATATGTCGCACAAACAAAGATGTTGGTTGCATGTGTAGGACTGCATAACTTCTTAAGGAGAATACACATGATGACTTTGACATTTCTGATATTCCACTAAAAGCTTCACGAAATGTTGCTAAATAGATGATGACTCCGATGAAGAAGATGAGTTAGAGAATCAATAGACACAACGAGCAGCTACGGGAGCTTGAAGAAATTTTATGGTAGAGGCCATGTGGGATGATGGAAGTTGAGTTACTCTAGGAATTTAGCTTTTTATTAGTTGTAAAATACTTTATTATTTGTAATGAATAGTGATGCTTTATTACTTTATATTTGATAGTTATTACTAGACTAATCAATTACTAATCAATCTTACATTATTTTTAATCTACACTTATTAACAATAGTAATACATATATAGTCATGATATCGTCAAAATAAATTACACATGTTTCTTGGTATCCCAAATTATCCGACAATAATTAACCAATATATTTTTTTTAAATATCCACCATTACCCAACCAAATTATCCTACCAAATTATCCAACTTCATAATATTATTCCACCACATTATCCTACCAAATTATCTCACTCCAAAAATTATCCATCATTGTTCCACTATCCCGTTATTATAAAATTATCCTACTTTGCCAATTATCTCAGTTCTACTTGAAAATTTTCTAGTTGACCAATACCCCAAAAGCAGTGAATAGCGTACCCGAATTTGTACCATGATGCGCTATGTACTACGTCCTATGTACTATGAATAGGATCCTCTCCAAATACCAACTAATTGGAGAGGACCCGAATCTATTTGGGTATCTTTGTCAGAATATTGATATGTTTTTCCCTTCGTACTAGGACTGTTGGCATTTCATTCTTGTACTAGAAGACATTTGATGAAAATCTTACTAATGAAATGATAGGGGATTATAACTACCACTACAAAATAAGTAACACAAATCAGCATCTTTTTCTTAAGATGGCTTGGAAGTCCAGGATCTAATTATGGCATTTCATCACGTTTAAAACCCTATATTTTCCAATTTTAGCATCGAAAATTCAATTATTGCTACAATCCAAACCAATCAAATAGGATTATCAAGATTCAATGCTTCCGAAATCAATCCCACCGCCCTCGTCATCAAATTGATCTCCCAATAAATGAAACAAATACGAAGAACAAACGAAGAAAGCGTTGAACCTGTCATGCTGAGGGCGATGAGCCCTGCAACGAAAAGCGCGAGCTGGACTCGCCTCTTCTGGAGATTCAGCATCCTTCTCTCGAATCCAAAACCCTAACCCTAACCCTAATTTTGGGGCTTTTTCCTCCTTTAAAGAGTTCTGAAGGATGAGAAGAAATTGGAGTCGGGGAGCCGGAGACTCGGGAAAGAATCCGAGAGAGAACATGAGGGGCCTTCTAGAAGTTCGAATACCAAGGTATTCCCGCACCCATTTGTTCACCAACTTGTTATAATGCAACACGTGCGCATAATTTCTCCATAAAAAACCATTCTTAGTCAGCAAATGTGCTTCCTAATATACAAAGTCAGCAAAAGCGTACTGCTGCTTTAGAAAATGGAAAATGATAGGGGCACACCCCCAACCACACTTCCAACCATACCCTCTCCCTCATTTGCTACAGTGCACCGGGCCCCACATGGGATTTTAAAATTTTAAAATCCCATGTGAGGCCCGGTGCACTATAACAAATGAGAGAGGGGGTGCGGTTGGAGGTATGGTTAGGAGTGTGCCCCTAGTGTCACCCTTCAGTCAAGAAAAATTTCTCTCACTCGGCTTTTAATCAAGTTAAAAAAGAGAGAAAAGAATTATCTCAAATCTTAACGAAATTTTGCTCAGATAGAAGTTTATTATAATTACTTTTCAAAAGCTTCATAAACTAGTTTGTTAAATAAAGCGAGTTAAACATCAGAGAGAATATTGTTGGGGAATTTTACTCTCTCCGCCTACTACGTTCTGCGCAACTTGGAAGTCAACCCATAATCAACATGATATAAAACAACCACAATCAAGAAGAAAGAACACCAAGATTTACGTGGTTCAGTCAACCAACTTCGACCTACGTCCACGGGCAACAATATGATAAATCCACTATGTATCAGGGAGAACTACAAGAGGAACCACTCAACTCTCGTCTCTCAATCTCTCAACCTCACATACATAATCAACTCTCATATTATCTCTAAAGCCCTCTCCTTACAATCTTTTAAACGGACAAGGACTGCAAAACTCTCTCCCAATGATGTAATCTTTTACACGGATAAAGACTACGAAACCCTCGCCTTCGCACAATATTATTGAATCAGGCTACGCCCTTTGCTAACCCTAGATACAAGAATATTGACTCTCACTCCTCTGCTTGGTTTTTCCTCCAACAATAGAAGAATATATATAGGAAAACCAAAACCCTATCTCTAGCCTAACTTCCTAATTAAAATATGATTCAAACTCCTAATCATGATGAGACTCAATCTCCTAATCATAATAGATCTCTAAGAGCATCTCCAACAACTTCCTGATTTTATTGGTATTCTCATTTTTAGAGAATTTTGGGCTTTTTTTTGGTCCAACAGATTCCTCATCTCATTCCCCAAAATAGGGATGGAGAAGAAAAAAGGGAAGTCTTCCCCAAATCTGGGGTATTATTCAAATATTTAGGGAGAGCTTTCTCATAAATACAGCACATTCTTCAAAACGGGTTGGAGGAGAAAATAAATATAAAATAAAATCCGTAATTACTTAAAAAGGCATGAGGGCAGTTCCAATGCATAAGAGCATCCTAAAATAGGGATGTAGAATATTTTTATTATTGTAATAAATACAGGATTCTTCAAAATAGGGAAGTTGTTGGAGTTGGAGTAAAAATAATTTGGAGAATATGACTTTTGCTTCCCCATTTTGGAGAAACTTTTGAGAAAACTGTTGGAGATGTTCTAACTCTATCTAATTCTCATGAAGTTATACAAAGAATCAAATACACAATCCCAACAAATATGCCCTCCAGTTACAAAGTACAAGGATTTTCATACTATATTACCAAGTTTTCATATTTTGCACTTAATGTATCTTCACTTATTTTTGGCAATACTTATTATATCGGAGACATGCATGAAGAAAAATGCTAAGTGTACTACATTTTTTGTACTATTTTGCTACTATCACTTACAAAAGAGTGGGGGCCTCACTTGAATATTATAGTGATGACTTATCATAGCCCCACCCTCTTACAATTGGTAGTTTCAAAGTAGTAGAGAAAGTATAGTACACTTATCACTACTTTATCATTACTCATTCAATGTTCTACTCATATTATATTGATTATAAATATTTATCAAGTCATTTAAATATTACAGTATGAAGAATGCAACCTTTGTACTTATAATATCAAGATTTTCTCACAATCATTAAATCTGTCTTGGCCCCCAAGCAACCTTCATAACTATAGAATTTAGCTTAGCCCCCAAGTAGCCCTCATAACCATATAATTCTCTCCAAATAATCTACATTCTTGATTTTTTTTTTCAATCTGAATGGCTCTATCTCATCGAGATAAGTGATATAATATGTTAGATTCTACTTTTTGGAGAGGGAGTTAAACCTTTTCTTTGCAGTTCACCATCCTGAACACGAATTTGACGTGGTTTCTTTCCAGATTTTTTTGATGCTCAATTGCAGACCAAGTTATTTATAATTATTAAGTAGTAAGTGATGAGTGCTAAGATTTTACTTCTGGACTTGGTCGTGAGCGTTGGACTTAGGTATTTCTGGATTCAATTAGTGATCTTTTGGGCTCAACATAATCTTCATCTGAGCTCTTATTCATTCAACCTTTTATTTCGTAAAAATATGTAAAAAATACATAGTAGCAAATAAAATTATTCAAAACTTATAGGAAATGACAGTATGAAAATACAATACAAATTGTTATTCAGGACCTAAGAGAAGGAATCCTTTCATCCTAATAGATCCATGTAATCAAGAAGGGATAAATCAACATATTCTTCTGCTTCAACCTCTTCTCAATAACCTCCCTAGCAATAGCAATAACTATAGGCATCCATACTGTTGTGCGTGGCGGAAGCTTTCTAGGGCAACACGAACAATAACTCGAACTAAACCACAAACAATATGCAAACCACAATCACAGCAAGAACAAAGAATTTACGTGGTTCGGGAAGTTGCCTACGTCCACGGGGTAAGGAGGGGGGGAGATTTTACTACTAGAAATCAAGGGAATACAAATAGGGTTACAAATCTCTCAGACCAAATCCTAAAACAAAGCACTTGATCTCTCAAAGCTCTCCCACAATTGGATGCAACAAATCTCTCTTAGAGGCTGCTCAAAATCGTCCTTAAGATACCCTAACAAATCAGGTTTAGGATATATATAACTTACAAAACGAAACGGGTCAAAAAACCTGAAAGCCCAGCCCAGATCATCGTCGGTCGACCGCGCAGGTCTTGCGGTCGACCGCACCGGTCGACCGAATCATCAAACCCGAGAGCAGAAAATCCTACAGTCATCCTCGGTCGACCGCACCGGTCGACCGCCACCAGATCCGGTCGACCGCCACCAGCTCTGATTCCCATTAGCTTCGGTGCACGTTTGCGGTAGACCGCGCCGGTCGACCGCCCAACTCTCTGCTGATTTTTCTGAGTTTCTGTAATTTCTTCACATACGAAAATAACATGTCCCTAATCAAATGACTGACCACTCGCTAGCAAGTACAAGATAATAACATCCCGAAGACTAAGAGTAGTGTCAGAATCAATAGGGTATAAATCAAATTTTAGGATGAGCTTGAGGATAATTTACTCATAGTTCAGATATCCTAAGTTGAATACCTAATTAGGATAAAAATATGCAAGTTGTAAGTATACAATTATCAAGTATAGTATTTAAGTTATTGAACCTACAATGAACTGTGTATTTGAAAATTCTAAATTTGATAATAGAAAAGTATGGACAAAAATTAGTGAAATAGAATATATACAGATGCAGAGAGGGAATTGTCACAACATAAAAATAAAAAAAACTAAAACAACAGGGAACAAAGAGAGGAGGAAAAACAAAACTAAAGAGAAAACTAAAAAGAAAATAAAAAAAGGAAATAAGAAAAGAGAAGAAATTAGAAAGAAGAGAAAGATCAATAAAATAAAATCAAGAAGAGGGAAATCAAGAGAGGAAAAATAAAATCAAATCAAGTAAAATTGGTGGAAGAACTAGTAGAGAAGTTAGAAATCTAGAATTAAATCCACTAGTTAATTTTAATTAGAATTTATGAACTACTATCTTTTTATCACATTTTACTTTAGATTTACTTAGTATAGATTATCAAACCATGTAAAAAAAATATAATCTATCAAATTATCATTCAAACAAAAATTCTTATTTATGAAAAGAACAAATAAATAGATAATAATCCTAGAAATAAATAAGCATAACCTATCAAACCATTCAAAATAGACATAGATTATCAAACTCTTTTTCTATCAATTAGCTCTCTAGTTGTATATCCTAAACATAATCAATTTAAGCATCAAGAGGGTAATCCATAAGCCATAAAAGAAATTAACCTAGTTTTATACAATCTTAGATTTCCTAAAGGGGCTTGTTGCTCATTTTGCAAAATAAAAATAAGAAAATAAGATCTACATTAATAAGCATAACATAATAAGAAGTAATTCAAAATTAAAAGAAATAAAAAAAGAAATATAAAATCAAAGCAATAAAGAGCAAGAAAATAAATCTATTCTATAACGCATGAAGAAAAATTACACTACAAGTGATAATCATATTTTATTATAATTTTATACCCTCATTATCTATTTTATATGAATAAATAAGCCATTAATAATTGTTTTTATCTTTAATTACAGGTCAATGAAGAATAAAGCCCAAGATCTCTTCTCTCAACAAAAACCCATGAATTAAAAGAAGAACACAAGCAAGAACCAAAAAGCCCAAGCCCAGAATCAAGCCGAGTAGCCTGTAGAAGCCGGAGAAAATAAAAAAATCAAATATAAAAAAATGTATTTAAGATAGTTGGCCGCAAAGAAACGACGATATCTCTCAATCCGAAAGGTGGAATTTAACATATAATATATGAAAATCACTTATCTTGACGAGACGAAGCCATCCGTGAAAACAAAAATTTGATTGGACGTCGATGCTAGTATCTATGCGGGCATCGATGCTAGCATCGATCCGGGCATCGATGCCAGCATCAATGCTAGCATCGATACTGACAGTTCTGTTACAATTTAAGGGCTGATTTTTCATGGTTTTGGATAAGATTTCAATCTAATGGCTCATATCCATTGATGTTTACTATAAATAGGGGTAGAAAGTGAGGGGTTGAGGGTGTGAACATTTTTGTAACTCCATTTGGAGAGGAGGGTCA